AGCCCAAAGTCAACAGAAGGAGAGAAATAATAAAAATCAGAGCAGAAATAAATACTATTGAAACGACAAAAGCAGTAGAAAGGATCAATGAAACAAAGAGGTGGTTCTTTGAGAAGATAAATAAAATTGACAAACTCCTAGCCAGACTTACAAAGAAAAAAAGGGAGAAAGCTCAAATAAACAAAATCAGAAATGAAAGAGGAGAAATAACAACAGACTCTGCAGAAACACAACGGATTATAAGAGAATACTACGAAAAACTATATGCCAACAGAATGGATAACCTAGAGGAAATGGATAAATTCTTGGACTCCTACAATCTCCCAAAGCTCACTCAAGAAGAGGCAGACAATTTGAACAGACCAATCACAAGGAAAGAGATTGAAACAGCAATCAAAAACATCCCAAAGAATGAAACCCCAGGACTAGATGGCTTTCCTGGGGAATTCTACCAAACTTTCAGAGAGGATTTAATACCTATCTTTTTCAAGCTATTCCAAAAAATTAGGGAGGATGGAACACTTCCTAACACATTCTATGAGGCCAACATCACGCTGATACCAAAACCTGACAAGGACACCACGAAAAAAGAGAACTACAGGCCAATATCACTGATGAACATAGATGCAAAAATTCTAAACAAAATTTTGGCAACCAGAATTCAGCAATTCATCAAAAGGATCATACATCATGATCAGGTGGGATTCATACCAGGGACACAGGGATGGTTCAACATCCGCAAATCAATCAACGTGATACACCACATCAACAAACTGAGGAATAAAAACCACATGATCATCTCAATAGATGCAGAGAAAGCATTTGACAAGATCCAACAGCCATTTATGATAAAAACTCTGAACAAAATGGGCATAGAAGGGAACTACCTCAACATAATAAAGGCCATATATGACAAAACCACAGCCAACATCATACTCAATGGGCAAAAACTGAGTGCCATCCCCCTGAAAACAGGAATGAGACAAGGATGCCCTCTATCACCACTCTTATTTAACATAGTACTGGAGGTCCTGGCCAGAGTAATCAGGCAAGAAAAAGGAATATAAGGAATCCAAATAGGGAGGGAAGAAGTGAAACTCTCACTGTTTGCAGATGACATGATGTTTTATATAGAAAACCCCAAAGAATCCATTGGGAAACTCTTAGAAGTAATCAACAACTACAGCAAAGTTGCAGGGTATAAAATCAATTTGCATAAATCAGTAGCATTTCTATATTCTAATAACAAACTAACAGAAAAAGAACTCAAGAACACAATACCATTCACAATCGGGACAAAAAGAATAAAATATCTCGGGGTAAATTTAACTAAGGAAGTGAAGGACCTATATAATGAAAATTACAAGGCCTTTCTGAGAGAATTGGACGACAACATAAGGAGATGGAAAGACATTCCATGTACATGGATTGGAAGAATAAACATAGTTAAAATGTCCGTTCTACCTAAAGCAATCTACAGATTCAACGCTATCCCAATCAGAATCCCAATGACACTCTTTACAGAATTAGAACAAAGAATCCTAAAATTCATATGGGGCAACAAAAGACCCCGAATTGCTAAAGCAATCCTGAGAAAAAAGAACAAAACGGGAGGCATCACAATCCCTGACTTCAAAACATACTACAAAGCTACAGTAATCAAAACAGCGTGGTACTGGTACAAAAACAGGTGCACAGATCAATGGAACAGAATTGAAAGCGCAGAAATAAAACCACACATCTATGGACAGCTTATCTTCGACAAAGGAGCTGAGGGCATACAATGGAGAAAAGAAAGTCTCTTCAACAAATGGTGCTGGGAAAACTGGAAAGCCACACGTAAAAGAATGAAAATTGTCCATTCTTTTTCACCATTCACCAAAATAAACTCAAAATGGATAAAAGACCTAAAGCTGAGACCTGAAACCATAAGGCTTCTACAAAAAAAGTAGGTAGTACACTCTTTGACATCAGTATTAAAAGGATCTTTTCAGACCCCATGTCTTCTCAGAGAAGGGAAACAATAGAAAGAATAAACAAATGGGACTTCATTAGACTAAAGAGCTTCTTCAAGGCAAATGAAAATAGGATTGAAACAAAAAAACACCCCACTAACTGGGAAAAAATATTTGCAAGTCATATATCTGACAAAGGCTTAATATCCATAATATATAAAGAACTCTCACAACTCAACAACAAAAAATCAAACTACCCAATCAAAGAATGGGCTGGAGACATGAACAGACATTTCTCCAAAGAAGATATATGGATGGCCAACAGGCACATGAAAAGATGCTCATCATCGCTGATCATCAGGGAAATGCAAATCAAAACTACACTAAGATATCACCTTACACCCATTAGAATGACAAAAATATCTAAAACTAATAGTAACAAATGTTGGAGAGGTTGTGGAGAAAAAGGAACCCTCATACACTGCTGGTGGGAATGCAAACTGGTGCAGCCACTATGGAAAACAGTATGGAGATTCCTCAGAAAATTAAAAATAGAACTACCATACGATCCAGCCATTCCACTACTGGGTATCTATCCAAAGAGCTTGAAGTCAGCAATCCCAAAAGTCCTATGCACCCCAATGTTCACTGCAGCATTATTTACAATAGCCAAGACATGGAAGCAACCTAAGTGCCCATCAACAGATGATTGGATAAAGAAGATGTGGTATATATATACAATGGAATACTACTCAGCTGCAAAACAGAACAAAATCATTCCATTTGCAATAACATGGATGGACCTTGAGGGAATTATGCTAAGTGAAATAAGCCAGCTAGAGAAGGATAATCTGTGTATGACTCCACTCATATGAGGAATTTAAAAATGTGGACTAAGAGAACAGTTTAATGGATACCAGGGGAAAGGTGGGGTGGGGGGTGGGCACAAAGGGTGAAGTGGTGCACCTACAACACGAATGACAAACATTAATGTACAACTGAAATTTCACAAGATAGTAACCTGTCATTAACTCAATAAAAAATAAGAAGTATCAAAAAAAAAAAGTAACAACAACAAAACCTGTCTCAGGAGGTGACTATATCACCTTAGCATAACACGAACTAGGCAGCAGATAGGAAGGAACCTAGAAAAGCCTGTTTGTTGGGCTCCCCTGTGTGTTCTTCTGTTTCTGTGTGGCCAAATACTTGTTTTTCAAATGTTTGCTCCTTTTCACCTATCTGTGAATTGCGTTCCTTTCCTTTGAATTTGCTGCTTTCCCCAACTCCATCTTTTGTCTTTAACTAAAGATGATATTTAGAGAGAGAGCTTCCAACATTTTGGCAAGTTACTTGGTTTTCCTGGGTACTTACACAAGCCTAGATGGTATAGCCGACTACATACCTAGGCTATATGGTACTAATGTTATGAGGCCACCATCATCTATGTGGTCCATTGTTGACTGAAATATGGTTATGCGGCACATGACTGTATTCAAAAAAGTTTTGTTACAAAATACCTAAATATATCGAACTTTTTGTAACTTTGTTTAATCTCTTCTCATTGACACAGATCATAATTCCAGTTCTCTAAAATACGCGTGTCTTCCTCTAAGCCATGAACATACAGCACTCCTCTCCCTCAAACTGAGTGGTCTACGGTGATTATCCTCAAGCTCAGAAACACCTAAGCTGGTGTTTCTCAATGGTGGCACTCCTGACCCGTGGGCTGGGTAATTCTGTGTTAAGGGAGCTGTCCTGTCCATGTAGGATGTTTAGCATCTCTGGACTCTACCCACTAGAGGCCAGTACCACCCACACCCAGGTGTGACAATCAAAAGTGGCTGCAGGGGCCAGCCCGGTGACGCAGCGGTTAAGTGTGCACGTTCCGCTTCGGGGGCCTGGGGTTCATGGTTCGGATCCCGGGTGTGGACATGGCGCCGCCTGGCAAGCCATGCTGTGGTAGGCGTCCCACATATAAAGCAGAGGAAGATGGGCACAGATGTTAGCTCAGGGCCAGGCTTCCTCAGCGAAAAGAGGAGGCTTGGCAGCAGTTAGCTCAGGGCTAATCTTCCTCAAAAAGAAAAAAAACGTGGCTGCAGACACTGACAAACGTCTCCTGGGGGGCAAAACCACCAAGTGTTGAGAAGCACTTCCCTAACTTTCCTCTCTTGTACTAGCAGAGGATCTCGGTCCTGGACTTAGGAAACAAGAGACGATTGTGACGGCTCACACGAGAATGAAGAAGCTCCATAACCGAGATCATGCTGCTTAGAACAATACCTGTTGGCACTGAAGGCAAAGGCCTCCTGGGGCCTGCCTGACTCACCCTCTTCCTGGAGAACATCCCAGCACTCACGGCCCTGCTAACTGGACTGCAGGGGACACCTGAGCCAACCAGGCTCAGTCGGGTCCCTCTCTGGAATGTGAAATAAGAACCTCAGACAGAGGCCAGTCTGTGCTGGGCCCTGGGGTGAGAGGTTCAGGAAAGGATGGGCTCAGGTGGCCACTCCTGCCCCAAGGATGCCCCAGAGAGCCCAGGAGCAGAGAAAGAAAGAGAAACAACATAAATATGCAAGGAAGCAGAGGCAAGGAACCTGGGGGCCACAGAGAGCAGGGACTGAGGCAGCCAGTCCTGCTGCAAACTCGCTGAGGAGAAAAAGCCATTCTGAAAAGACAGTGACATGAGCACACTCAGAGGGAGTAGCCAAGGACAAGAGACTCAGAAGCCAGGGCATAATTGTGGTGGCTCCCAGTTCCTATGTCAGTGGCACCCAGGGCCCAACTGGAAATCCTGCCTTTAGGTTCTGTGGAACACCGCCACTTCCTTCCATCACTTTCTAGGAGCCAAAGGCTCCTCTGTTTCTTGCCCAAAGAGACACAGGGAGACCAGGCAGGAAGACGTGAGCCTAGAAAACGACCGAAGCTGTGGGAAGGAGGTCGGGGAGAGGGGCTTCCTGAAGTCTTCTTGACCAGCTGAGATGGAGCCAGAGGTTGGAATGATGGACCTAGCAAGTCTGCCCAAATGGTGGAGTGGGGACGCCTTACCCAGAGACACCAGGAGCCCACAGTTTTCTAGCATCACCTCCTGGTACAGAGTCCTCTGGGCCAGGTCCAGCTGCCCCCACTCCTCCTGGGTGAAAGTCACAGCCACATCATCGAAGGTCACAGACATCTGGAAAGTCAAATAGAGGCAGGAGCATTAGCTTTGGGGCTGGTGGACGGGTTCACAGCTTATCTCTGCATTGCTGGTAAAGGTGCAGAGAGATCGAGGCCCTAATTCCCGGGCACCTCCTGAGGGCCAAGCTCTGTGCTGGGCTCAAAGTGGGGAGTGGTGGTCAATGCTTTGAACATATCCAATAGTGTCAGAGAGAGAAGCTTCCTATGCAGGAGCCCTTGGAAAATGACACAACACAGTGGAAATGACATGTAGACTGTGAGATGCAGACAGTAATGGCTCTAGGATGTCAGAGGAAGGAGAAAATGATGATAATACCAATGATGGTAACAGCAGCAGTACCTGAGCCTCACTGGTCCTGCTAGCTGCCTGCCCCACGCTGAGGGCTTCACATCATGTCTTAAAGTGACTAAAAGTCCCCAGGTCTTAAGTCATCGTTTTCACCAGTGTCTCCTGACTAAAAACACTTCGTACGGAGTTTGCCTTGCTAACGTTAATCCCACCACCATATTTCACACATTCTCCTCAATGCGAAATGTCCAGCACACGCAGGACCACGTCTCTATTATGACCAGACTAATTAAATATAAATAATTCAGCCCCTCCACTCTGACATGAACAGCTCCCACTAGTGCAGATCCATCATTTAAATGCTCCAAGACACTGACTCATGGTTTTTCACCTGCACGTTCAGTGCTCACATCTCTGTACTTTCTACCCTCATCCTCTCTATCAGGTTTCTTGAGTTAATATTTTGATCAAATCGTTGGCAATTCCTAATAAATTAACTGCTTCATACATAGGAACCCTGCAATGTTACTCACTTCCGGTGCTCGATAAACAGACATCACTGGGCACATTTTAGGCAGACAGATAAGAACAGAAAAATCAACTAGGGTCTCAACATTTAAAACATGATGATATATGTTTAAATAATGAAAACTCTCTGACATGCAATCATATAGCATCCTATGTAGCTGGTTAGGGGTGCATACATGGCTTTCTCTGGTTGGTCTTAAGTTGGAAGTCGGGGAAAAATTAGAGAAAGAGTCAGTTATTAATCATCCTGGCCATTTTGGGCCGACTGTTACAGAAATCATTGTTCAGCTTCCTGGATTGCCACTAGAGATAGTAATGTGATGTCCGGCAAGTCTGACTTAAAGAGCGGGTGGTTCCCTGGGTTGTTTATTGTAGACGAGGGGTTGGTTTTCCCGCCAGGGTGCTGCAGGTTCTGAGTCAGAGTTTTGTTTTTATACGTAGCCTGCCTATCGTCCCCTCGTATATTCAGTCTCTCATGTCCTAAGACTGGAAATAAAGCAGGTGACAAGCCGGCTCCACTTGTCATACACAAACACAACTGCAAAGAGAAAGCCAGTGCCTTTCCTGACTCCCACCCCGCCCAGGAGCCCTCCGCCAACTAACAGAGAACCAGCAACGCCGAAAACATCGTCCACTCACCTGCGCCGGGTCCCTCCACGCCGCCGCCATCATGGGACCCTGTGGGGAGAGCGGGGCCCGGAGAGGCGGCGACTGAGGCGGGTCCCGCGGGCTCAGCCGAACGAAACCTCTCCCCTGCCTTGCGTGGGGTGACCTCAGTTGACTGTCGCCCTCCCCGCTCACGGGGAGGCTCACGGCTCGTCCAAAGGCGCGGAGGTGAGTCCCAGCCTCCTTTCTGTTCCTCCTTTCTGCTCACTTTCCAAAAGCCGCACTGATACCGGCCACAGAACAGCGAGCGACCCCCGCCCCACAGCTGGCGTGGACGGAACCGTCGCATACAAATGACGTAGGCCATCAGGGAGACCGGAAGCCCCACACCCACGACAGCCGACCGCAGGAAACGCCCATGTCCTGGGCCGTCATTGGCCCAGCGCCCGCCGCAGACGCACGGTCCATAGCCTTCTGGGTAATGTAGTTTGTCTCTAAAAACACACACCGGTGGAGCGTGTCCAAGAGCCGGTCTTCCTCGATGTGAAGGACTTACCAGGCCCAGAGCGCCGTGTCACACCCGCCTCTTCGCAGTCGGAACAATTCGGGGGAACGAAGAGGGGGCGAGACCGTGCGTTCTACGCGCGGGGAAATCGAGGCTCAGGAGGCGGGCACCTTCGCCCGGGGTCGGGGCAAGTGCAAAGGGGCGGAACCGGCCCGGCTGGGCTTGGGACTCCCTTGCGCGTGGTCTCCGCCCCGCATCCTCTTATGGGGATGCTGGTGAATGAGCCGTCAGAATACCCGCCAGAGGAGGGTGCCGGAAGTCTCCCTCCCGCGCGGCGTGCACCCACGCACCCGCCTCTCTTGGGCCTTCTGTGACCCAGAGCCGCCTCCACGCCGTGCACGGATTCCTGAGTGATGGAGTTGGCCCTGAGCACCGCAGGAGTGGATTTGCCATCCCCTGAGGTGGGGAGGCAGCAAGTAGGGGCGACTTGGAGGAAGCTCAGGACTCCAGTCTCGAGCATGGTCCGTTTGAAATGTCTATAAGATCACACAGCGTGTGTGTCTCGTATGCACTTCAGCCTGTTTGAACACTGGGAGAGGGTTCGGGCCTGGATGTATGAGTTTGGGTCGTTAGTGTACACTGTTATTTCAAGTCTTGATACTGGGTGAGACCAACAAAAAGAATGAGAGGAGATGGAGAAAGGAATGGCCGAGGATGAACCCTGAACCAACCCAGCATTAACTCGTTGCAGACAAGAAACCAACAGCCATGTTAGGAATTCTAACAATCCTTCTAGAATTACAGTAGTCCCCCCTTATCCGTGGGGGATACTTCCGAGACCCCCAGTGGATACCTGACACCTCGGATAGTACAGAACCTAATATATACTGTGTTCTTTTCACTTAAAGGAAGCACTTTACAGCTTCTCTTTGACATATCCAAATTGCCAGCACTTGGGCACTCTTCCACTTTGAGGCCATTACTAAGTAAAAAAAGGGTTACTTGAACACAAGCACTGTGATACCAAGAAAGTCATCTGATAACCCAGAGGCTACTGAGTGACTAATGAGCCAGTAGCCTATACAATGGATACACTGGATAAAGGGAGGATTCACGCCCTGGGCAGGCTGGAGCAAGACTTCATCACACTACTCAGAATGGCTCACAATTTAAAACATGAATTACTTCTGGAATTTTCCATTTAATATTTTGAGACCAAGGTTGACCTCTGGTAACTGAAACCACGGAAGCTAAAACCTGGATAAGGGAGGACTACTGTATATTACACACAGTATTAGTCACTGTCAGCGACTTGTTTTGTTTTCTTATGGCTGTGAAGGTGAGAGAATAAAATCCACCTTCTAATGAGTTGAGAACACATACAGTTATAAAAATGGAAACATGTCCAGAAAATGCCCTCAAGATTTTTGCTTTTAAAAGTAGAGAAAAGCAAAGTGACAGGACATTAATTGAGTCAAAGAGTAAGGTACAGTCAATTTCCCAGAAGATGCTATTTATAAAACGAGGTTATGGGGCCAGCCCCAGTGGTCTAGTGGTTAAGTTCGCTGTGCTCCACTTTGGCCACCAGGTTCACTTCCCAGGCGCAGACCTACACAACTTGCCTGTCGGTGGCCATGCTTTGGTGGTGGCTCACTTACAAAAAAAAAAGAGGAAGCTTAGCAGTGGATGTTAGCTCAGGGAGAATCTTCCTCAGGAAAAAAAAAAAGTTATGGAGAAATATGACTTAATTAGTACACAAAGAACAGTGTTATCCATCATTTGCAATAGTAATTTGACCAGATTGAGAGAGACATAATTCTCCTTTTCACATGTGGTTGACTCTTATGGTTAAATTAAATGGTTGTGGGTTAGCATGTAAAACAGATATTAAAGTTAAGATTTTTATTTTCTCTGTGTCATGGGAGGCAGAATGTCTGGAATGAGGGTAGGTGAGGAAAGCTATGTAGCTATTGGAGAAACTTTGAAATCCTTACTGTAAAGCGTGTCAGAATTTTCGTTATTTAACCATATATCATCTGGTAGTCAGTGTTGAGGTCCTGGTTGATTTTTCTATTCTTTCCTACCTGCCCAAAATGTGCCCAGTGATATGAGATTTTCCAACACCAGAAATGAGTAATATTACATGCTTTGTGTGTACAAGCCAGTTAATTTATTAGGAATTTCCAAGTGTTTAATTGAAGTATTAACTCAAGAAAACTGATAGAGAGGACAAAGCTAGAAAGCACAGAGCTGTGAGCACTGAAGATACAGGTAAAAAAACCATGAGCCAAAGTCTTTGCACATTTAAATGATGGATCTGCACTAGTGGGAGCTGTTCATGTGAGAGTGGAGGGGCTGAATTATTTATATTTAATTAGTAAGTCTGGTTATAATAGGGACGTGGTCCTGCGTGTGCTGGACATTTCACATTGAGGACAATGTGTAGAACATGGTGGTGGGAGTAACGTTAGCGAGGCGAACTCCATATGAAGTGTTTTTAGTCAGGAGACACAGGTGGATACGATGCCTGCAGTGAGCAAAAAACATGTTTGAGCTTCCAGCTGAAGAGCCTAGGTGTTTACTCTGGTACAGAGAGCATGCCATGGATGAAGGGAGCAGCTGCCACATGAAACTGTGACAGAAGGATATTGCTGCAGGTGGAGGGTGATTTCAGAAGTGATGTTACATTTATTATTAGGGATGATTTATTCTGATGCAATCAGAATATGACATACCATGGAGGTGCTACTGAATTCATTTGAGAATTTGGGGAACATTGAAGTGCAGTGAAATATTTTATCTTGAAGATGGCAGCATGTTGGATATCAGTATAAAGAGAGTGGACCTCTGGCTTGATCAGAGTCCTGTGTTACAGGTGGTATACTCCTGAGAACCTCGGGAATAGGAAGTTGAGTCTAGGAGCCACTGTGACAGGTGGTAGGTTATGTACCGCCAGGGCAATTATCTGCAGAGAGTAGTAACTAGTTTTCAAGGAGAGTGCTTAAGTCACCATCTCTGGGGGTCGGGGGGGCATCATCTTGCACTGCTCTCAAAGGGAAGAGTTACTACAAGAAATAAAGATTCTACCCAATCCCACACCGACTCACACAACTATAAAGACCTGGTACAAAAAGATTCAGCTTTTATTAATTAGCATCTTGCACCTTAAAAGAGAAGAAACAAAAGACGGGAGTTCTCCTTGAACAAACTCAAGGGAGGAGGGGCAGACAGGGCTCAGGAAGCCATCTGAGCAGATGGAGGCAGCACCCTCCGGGAGTGGGCCCGGACCCAGGGATGCTCCAGGATCTGGTCCAAGGGCAGCCGCTCCAAGGGCTGGTATCTGAGAAGCTTGGAGATCAAATCCTTGGCCCCTGAAGGTATTGATGGGGGAAACCTTACATCTACCTGATGAGGCCAGAGAAGAAGAAAGAGAAGTACGGTTCATTTCTTTGGTCTGTGTTCTCTCTGTTCCTTGAATTTCCTCAAGGCACTGTTCTGGATCTTAGTGGACAACCTGTGTGTGTGCCCCAGGCTCCACAGGCCCACCACCCACCACTGACTTGCTTCCCCATGAATACCTAAGAGTGTGGCCATCCCACCTTGAGGATGCGTCTGTAGGTCTCATTGTGGGAATTGCTCTCAAAGGGCGGATTTCCCACCAGCAGCTCGTAGCAGAGCACCCCAATGCACCACAGATCCACCTTCTCATTGTATGTTCTCCCCTCGATCATTTCTGGGGGCAAATAGTCCAGAGTTCCACACATTGTCTTTCTCCTAGAGGAGAGCAGAGAAAGGAGCACTGCGCAGAGGCCCAGAACAAGGAGAACCCTCCTTCCCCAGCTTCCAGTGAGATGGGAGACCCTAGGAAATCCCAAGCAGTCCCCTCCTGAGCACAGGAGTTTGGAAACACCACTTGTAATATGGATCAAGATGCAGAGAAGGCAAGCACTGGGACCCACCAATTCCTGTTTTGCAATTATCCATATAATTATTTAGCTCATGATCCAGGATGTTTTCATAAGAATGTTCTGGGCATCAAGAAAGGTTTGGAACAAACTGATGGTCCATCAAGAGGGACCAAGTAACTTAATTATGGTTTATTCATACAATAAGATTCCTAGAATTATGGAGCAATGGTCCTTAATTTACATGGAAACTTGTTGGTAAAGTTATACGTTAACAGAGATCAAGAAATAAAAAACATGGTTGAACCACATTCTTTCAAACTACAAATACATATTAAATATATGCATTTGATAAAGGCAGTATTCAAATACAAACCCAGGTTTGTATCTGGGTCTTCATGTGGAATGAATTAAATTGGATCATTCCTAACTGGCACCCAGGGCCCATCCCACCACACCTGACCTACCTCAGAGAGGGGGTGTGCACAGACCAGCCAAAGTCTGCAATCTTCACCTCACCTCTGAACCCCAGCAGCAGGTTCTCGGGCTTAATATCCCTGTGAATCACCTTCTTCTCATGGCAGTAGGTCAGAGCATCTGCCAACTCCTCCATTATCTGTGTGAGTAAAGAAAAAGCAGTCTGGAAATGAAGCCGGCCACAATTTCCCTATGAGGTAAAATACATATCGTGTATTTTATAATTGTAGTGGAATCTTTTGTTTCCTGGTTACTAGCTCCATTACCTCCTTAATAGCACCACAATTATTGGTGAGGGAGGATTTCCCCTCCACTATTTTATGCGGTCTTACAGGATGGATGCTAAGATGGACAGATCCTCCCTTTTGCCCTAGCACAGCAAGTGGCCAGATGGAGGACCTACACTGAGCCAATCAGATGATCTCCCACAGGACTTGAGGCCTGAGGAAGTGATACAAAAACAGGAGGAAAATTGGAAGATCGATCATTCTGACAGCAAGCTGACCCAATCATTCCTGCTGGGATGATCATCACTCTGGTTCCCTGTCTGGAGCCCTCTAGAAAACTCATGCTTCCTATTTCTGGGCCAGTTCATGCATTTACTCAGCAAACTCCCTCACAACCTTTAAATAAGTTTCTTTGCATAAGGTAGTGGAGTTAGATTCTGTTGCTTACAACCAAAGAATCCAAACTTATACACCCTTCTTATAAATACTCTGGGGGTAGTTAGGGTATCCAAATGTGAAGTTGTAGGATGTATGTGTCATATAAGATTTATAGAATAAAATTCAGAAATAAACTAAGGAAAAACCCAATTTGGACACCAGAACCAGCCAGAAGCAGTGACCCCACCAGCCCACAGTAAACTCACACACCCCAGAGCACCCATCCCCCCACCTCACCGTGGCCGTACGCTGTTCATCTAATGTGTGGCTCTTTTGCAGCTCCTTGTAGAGCTCACCCCTTGGAGCATATTCCAGAATCAGGTACACTCGGCGTGCATCATGGAAGTAGTTGTACAGGCGTAGGATATTTGGGTGTCTGGAGGAGGGATGGAGGAAAGGTCAGACTCCTCCCTGAGGCTCAACACATGATGCTAATACAAGTGATTGGTCATACAGGGGGCAAATTGAAATTGTGCTGGGACCAGTATAAATACAGTCTGGTCTGGGAGTGTGTGAGGGGAGAAAGAAGGAATGGGAATCAGGGTTCCAGTGTGACACAGAGGGAACTTTACATAGTGTAATTGGAATGAGTTGCAGAGAGAAGTCTTCAAGGTGGAAGCAAAGGGCTTATTTGGGGGTAGTACTGGGTTCAGATGGCAGAAATATCAGAGGAAACAGAACAAGAGTGAGGAACCACTTCTGGAATCTCATGCAGAGACTGTCCTTACTGTAGATGCGCCTGGATTTCAATTTCCCTGCGCAGCTGGTGTTCCAGTCCTTCCTTCTCTATCTGGGACTTAAAGAGGACTTTCAGAGCAACAATGAAATGGCTTTCCTTGAGCCGAGCCAGGTACACATTCCCAAATTTTCCCTTGCCCAGAGGACGCCCGATTTCAAAGTCATCAATTGTGAGATGCCGCCTGACAGGAGAGGAAGAGAGCCTCAGTTTGGGAGGTGGGTGGAGGGAGTCAGGGACTTGGAATGCTCACCTTCCTCCTTCACTTTACCCTCCCTCCGCCCCTTTCCCTTCTCAAGGGCCCAGCTGGGGTGTTTGATCAACAGCTCTCAGCCACATGAACCAATGCTGCACACGCGCAGCTTGGTCTTCTTCCTCAGTCTCACTGCCCTTCCGCTTCCAGACACAAAGCCAAAGGCACTCACACGTTTGGGAAGCCGGGTTGACTTTGGCCTGCTGTAGGTACTGCAATAAAAAAGAGATGTCAACGCTGTTCTGTGCACCCCCAACCCCAACAACTGACACCAGGCCTTTCTTCTCAACCCTCCTTCTCTGGTCCTGGTTCTGATCCGTTTCACCTGCGGGCCGAACACTGCCCGACTTCATCACAGCTTCTGGGAGACTCATGAGAAGAGAAGACGGAGAGGGGACGCCTTCCTGAGCCCTGCGGAACTGCGTGTCCAGGTCCGGGGGATCCTGCACACGGGTGGGAGGAGGAAACACTCAGGCTGAGGCTCTTCCAGCCCAGACCTGCGCCCACGACGGCGGGCAGGGACCGGGAACGCACCGCTCAGCTGCCCCTTAGCTTCTCACCACCCCTCGACGCACGGAGTCGGAGATAATCCTGGGCAACGAGAGCCAGGCCCTTTATACTGCGCGCCACGGCCCCTTTGCCCGGTAGTTCCTGACCGCTCCCATTGGCTGAAATTTCTCAGGCCGCAGGCAGCGTGCCCAATAGAAGAGACAGAACGGGGAACTTCCGCCGGGGAGAGGAGGGCCGAGGGGACCGGGCCAATGAGACGACAGGGCGCGGAGGCCGGAAGGCGGGCCGTGGGCGGGGCCGGGCCCGGCAGGCGGTGCGCACGCAGCTGCAGAGCAGTCCCGGAAAAGGGCGCGGGCGGGGGTGCGCTGAGGCCATGGTAAAGGGGCCCGGGTGAGCGAACGGGTGTGTAAGCCCCGGCGTGAGCGAGTGCGTTAGCCAGCCGACGTGACGCGCGTCGGAAGAAACAGACGCCGCTGGGGTCGGCCTTGTGCAGCTCGCAAACGCCAGGCCGCACGCGCGCCCAGCTGGCCCCGGCTCCAAGCTTGTGTCCGGCTCAGGCCACTCCCTGGGGTCCTCCTCAGCCACGCACATACCTGAGGGTCCCCGCGGTTCGGTTCCCCGAAACGTGTGCCTGTGTCCCCCGACACCCTGCGGCTTGTGGCCTCCCCCATCCCCCCGCACCCCCAGGAGCCGCCCCCAACCCAGGACTGCCCGTAGGTGGCTTGACTCAGTGACGCGCGGCCGCACTCACCCATCGCACCTTTTCAAAATAATTAGTCTTCAAGTAAGAAAACATGATAGCACCTTTTGTTACACATAGTTCATCCTAAATATACCTGGTAATGCGGGTGATCGTCGGCCGTTACATTAGCCTTCTACAAGGGAAAACAAATTTCTCATTTCTTTACGACAGAAGGTAGTTTTGCAACTTGGAGTTAGGTGCCCACGAAGTTAGGCTCCTAACCTCCCACAGAAGTGGGGAGCTAGAGATGTTATCTCCCTTTATGTCTTCGTTTCAAACAGATGGCTCCTAGGTCCCTGAGAAAGACATTCCTGGGTTGGGACCATGGTGGGGCGGGGGGGAGTTGAGGAAAAGCAAGGAGGCTAGTGTGGCTAGAGCTGCATCTGCAGGGGTTACAGTGGGACAAAATGAATCAGAGAGAAATGGAGACAAATTGTGTAGAACCTTGTCAACCACTGTAAGGAGGTTATAACATACTCCTGAATGTGTTCTAAAACTTACCTGGGATTTGTTTAATCGGCTGTGGTAAGACATGCAGACCTCATATCATGAAGGAAGCACCTTCCGCTCACAGATCCCTAGCAAACAGGAGTCAGGGCATGCCACACCGGGCCATGTGATGAAGCACCAGAGTGGGTCAGAAGGCAGCAGCAGCAAAGGAGAAGGCATGGCCCAGCACCTTTATTGTGTTTTCTGCAGGAAAGGCAGGGCAGGGCAGGTAAATAGCTTAGGATTAGCTGGTTTGAAAAATACAGTAGAGCTTTGGGGCATAGGAGGTATCTTTGCTGTCTGGTACCTAGCCATGGAGTTTTAGGGCAGAGGAATACTGTCTCCCAAAGTGCAAGAACCAAATAGAGGTGGTTAGTTTACACATGAAAGGCAAGGTCCTGGGCAAGTTGTTTGCTGTCTCTCCCCATTCACCGAGGTGCCCAATGCCAGAACAAGAATACAGAAAATAAAAAAATACATAGTACACTGTGAAATAGGTAGCCATGGTGGGGTTTTGAGCTGAAGAGTAATGTGATCTGATTTGTATATTAAAAGGATCACTCTAGGCACTGCGTGGAAACTAGACTAAGGAAGGGGCATGAGAGGGGGAAGGGGACCTTAAGAAGTTCTGCTTTCCAGATGGGTGAGGGTGATGACTTAAACCAGTGTAGTGACAGAGGAGGTGGTTTATCACAAAGTACAAATAACAGTTGATCAAAGAGGATGAGTAATCAAATTCGTACAAAAACCTGGATACGAATGTAATGGCTTTATAGGATGGGTTGGGGGTTCGTTTAAATCTATCCATACCCCACACCGCCTCCTTCAAATGCTAAGCGTATTCCTGATGGTACTGTGGTGTGTCTGTTACAGAAATGCTTTACTTCATGTAGATGCTCAGGCAAATATGTTTCACTGTAACAGAGACTAGGCCAAAGGCCAACAAGGTGGACTGTGCAGGAAAACATTAAATGAACAGGCTTCAGTTGCTCAAATGCTGCACATTCCAGAGAAATGACTTGCCCTCGACCTGCTCCAGGAAGACCACTTGAGTCCTTAGGATATCTTGCTGGTAAATGATTTTTATGCCTGAGGCCTTGGGTCCCCCTGTATCAGTTTGACTAGATAACCTATGCTAACAGTGTGACTCCTGGTGAATGGTGGGGTTTGTACACCTGGGGCGCCAGGCTACACAGCATCTTTGCCTTCTGAGGCAGGATCCTGGAGACTGAACATGCATAGTCAGTCACGTACGTATCATGTGCCTTAATGAAAACCCTGAACACTGAAGCTTGGGTGAGCTTCCTTGGTTGGTGACACTTGAACATGTTGTCACATCTTTGCTGAAAGAATTGGCTCCCCATGCAACTGCCCTGGGTGGGACACCTGAAAGCTTGTGCTTAGTTCTCTTGGACTTTCCCCTATGTGCCTTTTTTCCTTGGTGATCTTGATCTGTGTCCTTTTGCTGTAATAAACTGGAACCATGAGTTTAACCACTTTGAGTCTAGAAGATTGTCTTGGGGAGCAAAGAACTGTATGTATATATATCTCTAGATATTCACATATATACATACTTTTTTTTTTTTTAAAGATGATTAGCCCTGAGCTAACATTTGCTGCCAATCCTCCTCTTTTTGCTGAGGAAGCCTGGCCCTGAGCTCACATCCATGCCCATCTTCCTCTATATGTGAGATGCCTGCCACAGCATGGCTTGCCAAGCGGTGCCACGTCTTCACCTAGGATCCGAACCGGCGAACCCCAGGCCACCGAAGCGGAACATGCGCAATTAACCGCTGTGCCACCAGGCCAGCCCCCACATGTATGTATTTCTGAAAAAGCAAGGTTATGACCTGGATGGGGGTTGTGGTGAAGGCTTTCCTGAGGAGGTGCTATTTGAGATGACATCGGAGGGATAAGCACTCACTCACTGGCCAGAGTGGGTAGGGAAAACCCCACAGCAGGAGGGGAAAAGCACAGGAAAAGGAAACAGGAAAAGAGAAGAGAGGTGAGGCTTGTGCAGGAGAAAAGGTGGTAACATACGCAGGCCCCACACCAGGTAAGGCCCCCTGGATGGACCACCTTAAGGCTTTGGTGCTCAGTCAGGGGATCTCTGTCCTGGGTAACCACACAGTACAAGTAGTACTGAGGGAAGACTAAAAGTGGATCAGAATCTGGGAGGAGTAGTTTTTGAATCTTACTAAATCACATGGAGACCAAGGTATTTTTTCTTTTTCTGCTTTATCTCCCCAAACCCCCCCAGTACATAGTTGTATATCTTACTGCAGGTCCTTCTAGTTGTGGCATGTGGGACACCGCCTCAATGTGGACTGACGAGCAGTGCCATGTACTCGCCCAGGAGCGGAGCCAGTGAAACCCTGGGCCGCTGCAGCGGAATGCGCGGACTTAACCACTTGGCCATGGGGCCGCCCCCGCAAGGTATCTTTGAAACATCCAACTGGGGACAGCAAAAAGACAATAAGGAATTCAAGTCCAGAGCTTGAAGAAGTCAGGATTGGGGTAATAAATTTAAATTTGTCAAAAGTAAAGAAGATAAGTGAAGCCACGTATGCAGATGAGGCCTGGGGAGACCACAGCATGAGAGAAAATTCTTCAGGAATTTCAAAACCAAATGGGTGGCTAGAGTATGAGTCAGCAAGGAAGGAAAAAAGGAGGGAGGGAGAAAACCAGGAGTGATGTCACAGAACCAAGGAAAGAGTGTATTTCAAGAATGGAGTGGGCAATGGGGACAAGTTCAGTCCTGAGCACAATAAAGACAAGGGCTGGAAATTTATGAATACAGGAGTCACTGCCGACCTTGGCCAGAATGGCGAAGATGGTGGCATTGTAATAAGGAGGTTCACAAGGCAGGGAGGTTTGGGAAGTGGAGAGTAAGAGGTAAAGGTGAAGTGGAAACACTGCATGGAGAGGAAAACTGCCCCAAGGGGAAGAGGGAGGAAAAGACAAAGAAGTGAAAGTGGCAGAAGCCAAGATATAGGAAAGATCACAGTGGTGATGTCTGACACTCAAGCAAACAAGCAAAGACAAGTCACAAAGGGTGAGGGGCAGAAGAACATGCAGACAAAGAGGCCTATAGGCTCTGCGATGACATGTGACATAAATGTCAGGCAGTCTCTAAGATGGGGGAAAAGGGTGATAATTTCTTAAGTGATTCCAGGGTTCAAGGAGAGACACGGTGAGAAGGAAGTACTCTGAACCTGTGTGAGGACTCTTATCTGAAAGCAGGGACATGGAAAGGAACTAGGAAGAGCAAGACTAGCAGAGATGATGAAAGATGACGCAGCTACAAATGCCATAAGGGATGAGGCAGCAAAATGGTGAGGATGCCTGTGAAAGGGAAAATGATCAGGAAAACAAATCAAGACAGCACACACAAGGGCATTTCTTCCTTCCGACCTCAGAAGTTGGAGAAATGATATAGGGAGAATACCTGAAGTCGTCAAGAATTTGCAGCCTGCAGTTAGTTGTGCTTGGTCACTGTCTGAAGTGTGGGGCTTTAAGAAGGGCATCTGGAAGAATCTTCCTAAAATACCATGGCAAATAACTGGGATCTTACAAACACCAGGGTCCCTCGAAGGCCTGCTTTCTCCTTGTCCCCTCCTCTGTCCATGGCTTTCCACCTTATTCCAACTTAAACATCACATCCAGCTAGGTGCATTAACACCCTCTTGTTTGGAAATGACAGGGAAATGGCTGACTTGCTTTGCTAAATTCATATATGTACCGTCTCATTAATGCTTTCAGGTGTATTGTTTTAAAATGTAGGTTTTCACTATTATGATATAAAGCCAACAAATCAGATGGTTGCCATTGAAAAGACAGTTGTTACTCACAGTTCCCATAAGAGGGCAGACCATGTTCAGGCCACAAGGGGGTGCACCAGGGCGGCAAGAGTCACCAGGAGGGTGGGCAAAGACTATACTGTCGTTTTTGTTGGAAGGAATGGGCAAAGTGAGGTGA